TTTCGTTATTCTTGACTACTCCCCCCTTGAAGAGGGACATATCCGACTTAAGCCTTGAAAGCTTCTCCAGGCCCATGCATGCAGATCCAGGGCCCAGCGCTCGAGAACTGCTGCTTGAGGGCGACCAACGGCCCGACAGGCGTTGGCAGCCAACTATAAAAAAAGCAAGCCCGCGCAGGCCTGCCTCGGGCAACGTCGAACGTTCGAGAACTGGCGCATCAAGAGGCGGGTGGCCGACAGGATGCGTATGCGCGCATGCGCGCTCAGGGAAGTCTGCTATTGGCAGGTTCTGAGCGGCGGGGACTCGCCACTCCGCGCGGGGGAGGAGTGCTCGCCCTCCGCAGGTGCAAAAAATCCAATCAAAACATCGTCGCCCGCCTCAGCGCAGCGGCGAGTCGCCGTACAGAGCCCAGTCACCCCAGGCCTGGCCCGTCAGGCCGTTCTGGAAGAACATGCCGATGATGGCCATCATGGCGAGCCTGCCGTTGTTGATCTCGGCGAGCAGCTTCTTCTCCTTGGTCTCCTTGTCCGCGATGCTGGCGCCGCCGGGGAGGCCCAGGGCACCGAAGCCATCGTAGTCGCCGGGGTACTCCTTGGGCTCGCTGCTCAAGAAGTTGACCTCGAGGATGCCCGCGAGCGCGATGATCTGGGTCCAGCCGACGAGTGGGATCGCGTAGATGGCGCCGAAGCCGTTCGGGATGTCTTGGAACGCGAGGCCCTCCGAGGGCGAGATGAGCCCGGGCCACCTGAAGTACTCGGGGACGATGTACCCGATGCACGCGAACATGGCCACGCGGCCGTGCTGGATCTCGATGATGCGGCGGCGCCGGAACTGGGTCGCGGCCACGGCCGGGTCAGGGTACCTGGCCAGGCCCAGGGGGTCCCAGAAGCCCAGCGGCGGGCACGCGCCGAGCTGCGTGGAGATGTCCAGCACCGGGGCCTTCGCCGCACGCAGCGGCGAGTCGCCGTACAGAGCCCAGTCACCCCAGGCCTGGCCCGTCAGGCCGTTCTGGAAGAACATGCCGATGATGGCCATCATGGCGAGCCTGCCGTTGTTGATCTCGGCGAGCAGCTTCTTCTCCTTGGTCTCCTTGTCCGCGATGCTGGCGCCGCCGGGGAGGCCCAGGGCACCGAAGCCATCGTAGTCGCCGGGGTACTCCTTGGGCTCGCTGCTCAAGAAGTTGACCTCGAGGATGCCCGCGAGCGCGATGATCTGGGTCCAGCCGACGAGTGGGATCGCGTAGATGGCCCCGAACCCGTTCGGGATGTCTGCGAACGCAAGCTTCTCAGAGGGCGAGATGAATCCAGGCCACCTGAAGTACTCGGGCACGATGTACCAATGCACGCGAACATGGCCACGCGGCCGTGCTGGATCTCGATGATGCGGCGACGCCTGAACTGAGTCGCAGCCACGGCCGGGTCAGGGTACTTGGACAGGCCCAGGGGGTCCCAGAAGCCAAGCGGCGGGCACGCGCCGAGCTGCGTGGAGATGTCAATCACAGGACCCTTCGCCGCACGCAGCGGCGAGTCCGCATACAGAGACCAGTCGCCCCAGGCCTGGCCGGTCAGGCCGTTCTGGAAGAACATGCCGATGATGGCCATCATGGCGAGCCTGCCGTTGTTGATCTCGGCGAGCAGCTTCTTCTCCTTGGTCTCCTTGTCCGCAATGCTGGCGCCGCCCGGGAGGCCCAGGGCACCGAAGCCGTCGTAGTCGCCAGGGTACTCCTTGGGCTCGCTGCTCAGAAGTTGACCTCGAGGATGCCCGCGAGCGCGATGATCTGGGTCCCAGCCGACGAGTGGGGCTTCCTTAGATGGCGGCCGAGCCCGTTCGGGTGTCTTGGAACGCGAGCCCTCCAGGGCGAGATAGCCCGTGCTCACCTGAAGTACTTCGGGGAACGATGTACCCGATGCACGCTATCATGGCCCTCGGGCCTGGCTGGATCTCGATGTGCGGCGGCGCCGTGGCTGGGTCGCGGCGGCACGGCCGGGTCAGGGTACCTGGCCAGGCCCAGGGGGTCCCAGAAGCCCAGCGGCGGGCACGCGCCGAGCTGCGTGGAGATGTCCAGCACCGGGGCCTTCGCCGCACGCAGCGGCGAGTCGCCGTACAGAGCCCAGTCACCCCAGGCCTGGCCCGTCAGGCCGTTCTGGAAGAACATGCCGATGATGGCCATCATGGCGAGCCTGCCGTTGTTGATCTCGGCGAGCAGCTTCTTCTCCTTGGTCTCCTTGTCCGCGATGCTGGCGCCGCCGGGGAGGCCCAGGGCACCGAAGCCATCGTAGTCGCCGGGGTACTCCTTGGGCTCGCTGCTCAAGAAGTTGACCTCGAGGATGCCCGCGAGCGCGATGATCTGGGTCCAGCCGACGAGTGGGATCGCGTAGATGGCGCCGAAGCCGTTCGGGATGTCTTGGAACGCGAGGCCCTCCGAGGGCGAGATGAGCCCGGGCCACCTGAAGTACTCGGGGACGATGTACCCGATGCACGCGAACATGGCCACGCGGCCGTGCTGGATCTCGATGATGCGGCGGCGCCGGAACTGGGTCGCGGCCACGGCCGGGTCAGGGTACCTGGCCAGGCCCAGGGGGTCCCAGAAGCCCAGCGGCGGGCACGCGCCGAGCTGCGTGGAGATGTCCAGCACCGGGGCCTTCGCCGCACGCAGCGGCGAGTCGCCGTACAGAGCCCAGTCACCCCAGGCCTGGCCCGTCAGGCCGTTCTGGAAGAACATGCCGATGATGGCCATCATGGCGAGCCTGCCGTTGTTGATCTCGGCGAGCAGCTTCTTCTCCTTGGTCTCCTTGTCCGCGATGCTGGCGCCGCCGGGGAGGCCCAGGGCACCGAAGCCATCGTAGTCGCCGGGGTACTCCTTGGGCTCGCTGCTCAAGAAGTTGACCTCGAGGATGCCCGCGAGCGCGATGATCTGGGTCCAGCCGACGAGTGGGATCGCGTAGATGGCGCCGAAGCCGTTCGGGATGTCTTGGAACGCGAGGCCCTCCGAGGGCGAGATGAGCCCGGGCCACCTGAAGTACTCGGGGACGATGTACCCGATGCACGCGAACATGGCCACGCGGCCGTGCTGGATCTCGATGATGCGGCGGCGCCGGAACTGGGTCGCGGCCACGGCCGGGTCAGGGTACCTGGCCAGGCCCAGGGGGTCCCAGAAGCCCAGCGGCGGGCACGCGCCGAGCTGCGTGGAGATGTCCAGCACCGGGGCCTTCGCCGCACGCAGCGGCGAGTCGCCGTACAGAGCCCAGTCACCCCAGGCCTGGCCCGTCAGGCCGTTCTGGAAGAACATGCCGATGATGGCCATCATGGCGAGCCTGCCGTTGTTGATCTCGGCGAGCAGCTTCTTCTCCTTGGTCTCCTTGTCCGCGATGCTGGCGCCGCCGGGGAGGCCCAGGGCACCGAAGCCATCGTAGTCGCCGGGGTACTCCTTGGGCTCGCTGCTCAAGAAGTTGACCTCGAGGATGCCCGCGAGCGCGATGATCTGGGTCCAGCCGACGAGTGGGATCGCGTAGATGGCGCCGAAGCCGTTCGGGATGTCTTGGAACGCGAGGCCCTCCGAGGGCGAGATGAGCCCGGGCCACCTGAAGTACTCGGGGACGATGTACCCGATGCACGCGAACATGGCCACGCGGCCGTGCTGGATCTCGATGATGCGGCGGCGCCGGAACTGGGTCGCGGCCACGGCCGGGTCAGGGTACCTGGCCAGGCCCAGGGGGTCCCAGAAGCCCAGCGGCGGGCACGCGCCGAGCTGCGTGGAGATGTCCAGCACCGGGGCCTTCGCCGCACGCAGCACGGTGGCCGACGCGCTCCGGGCACCCTTTGCCGTGCGGTGCGCGCCTGCCATGCCCAGCAGGGCCACCGCTGCCGAGGCGCCCGCCAGGGCGGCCGCATGCCCAGCGCGAGCCTGGTCCGGCGGGGCGGGGGGGGGGGCGCCTCGGGGTGCGGCCTGCGGCGGTGCCGCGGTGCCGCGCGTCAGCACGGGCACGAAGCCGGCGGCTGCTCCGCCCGCGAGCATGCCGGAAGCCACAGCGGCACCAGCGCCAGCCAGCGCGGCGGCGCAGCCTGGCTGCGGGTGCTCTGGCATGGCGAAGTTCGCAAGCGACAGGGCGCAGCAGCGCTTCCCAGTGGCCCTGGGTGGGCTGGTGGGCTCGCGCCCCAGAATCCGGGCCGCCGCCTCTGCGGCAAGCTTGAGCCAGTGGCTTCGGGCACGCCCGATGCCCTCGCAAGCTCCTGATTGGCTGCATCGCATGGCGCAGGCGCAATGCGGTTGCGCCTGCCCATGGTCAGCTCACCTCGGCCCTCGAGAATTGTCGAGTCGCGTGTGCAGCTGCGCTTTCGCTCACGTCGTTCCGTTCGCCGGCGGAGGAAGTACGACGCCCTGCGGTGATTTTAAGACTATGGCACGGGGATGGAGCCCGAGAAGAGGCTTGCAGCAGCGCGTGCGGGTTGCCCTGGACAGAGCGAGAGTTCTGGATTTGCGAAGGCGCAGGATGAGGAGCAGGATGAGCAGCACGATGAGGAAAACAATGGAGAACTAGGACTAAGATTAGGAGACGGAGGAAGAGCAGGAGCACGAGGAGGGCGGGGATGACTTGCGCCAACGACCGCGACCAGGGGGTTGGACCGCGTAGGGGGTGTAGTAGTGGACTGTCCTTCGCGGGGGGGGGTCGCTTGAGTCAGGAGGGGAAAAAACACACAGTCATGATTAATCGTCGACTCCCACAGAATATGGGAAAATGTACGAAGTGAGGGGGAAGACAAAAGCACCAAAAAGGGGGGAAATATGGGGAATCCTGTGATTCGTGTCTATTAATGTGTGTGTGTGTGTGTGCGTGTGTGTGTGTATGTGTGTGTGTGTGCGTGTGTGCGTGTGTGCGTGTGTGCGTGTGTGAGTGTGTGCGTGCGTGCGTGCGTGCGTGCGTGCGTGCGTGCGTGCGTGCGTGCGTGCGTGCGTGCGTGTCTGTGTGTGTGTGTGCGTGCGTGCGTGCGTGCGTGTCTG